ATTGATGTCAACACTCGAGTGATGCAATTAAGTATGCTAAAAATGCCTGCTAGGTATCATGCAAGATCAATCTTGAGGTTCTTAATTAAATGCCGATTGTAATTAATAACCAGGAAGGTGTTGCAATGCGACACTTTCATGTACACTAATATTCAGTAGACTCGCAAAAACAAACTTCAAATAAGTTCTTCTGGGTATTAAGGAAAGCACTGTTGGTTCCCACCGTATTGAGGTTGGCAAGCCACCAATTTATGTGTCACTTGATTCATAGAACAGTTAAATGGCTGCTTATTTTTGCTGCCACAAAATCGTGCTTGAAGCAATTGGCGAAAAAAATCGTCGCTGGTAAAAGTTCAGGTTACCGATAATGATAGGCTGACTGAACCAGAAGTTAGAAACTATAGAATTAAAAGGTTTTGCGCTTCAATCACATTTCTTCAACAGCCAAAATTGAGCGGTGTCGGAGCCACCAGTCACGTGAATGTTCTTCGTGATCTTTCACTATTGGTCATTCGCATAGAAATGGTCCATAGAGACGTAATATTTTTCGTGAAAAATCAATGAAAATGGTCACGATTGAATATTGTTTTAGTCTTACACGTATTAGTTGAAATAATCTGATGGCGACTTTAAGAAAAATCATCCATTTTTCTCATATAGTACAGAAGTTTCTTCAATACTCTTTCATTATTCCTCCATTAAGCGTTTTTCAAAAACGTCTGCAGGACAGTCTGTATATTAACGGTTTTAAAAAATAATTGAAAATAATTTATTATAGAACTCTCAGGAGAATAACATTATATTGTTTGTACTTTCACTTGTACAAAGTGCTGCCGAAGTTTAGTCAACATTACAATTTATTTAACCGGGTTTCAGATGAATCATTTACGTATGTATCTTTCATCTCAAAAACTTCTCAAATCCACAAAAATTTGGAGGGAAGCAACTGGGCCACTTTGAAATAGATTTTCCGAATGCACAAACCTTTAACAAGTCTTGAAAAATATTGCAAACTATTAACACTCAAGCATTCAAGCACTCAAGAAGTAAAGCTCATGAAATATGTTCAACACATATGTCTAATAATATTGAACTTTGTAACTGTAAAATTTTCAAACATATTTTCTATCCGAAACTTTATGAAAACAAACGGCCCGATTATTTAGCTTCGACATTTTCTACCAACTCCCTACAAACGTTTGTCAACAGACCTTAAGGAATTATTACGAAACCCTAGTAATTATTTAAAACATGGAAAGTAACTCACTAGCAAAAAAATCACTAGCAAAAAAATGTAATTTTGTGCCATTTCTTGCGCTTGGTTCGGCCGTGTGTGAAACAAAAAATAAAGTAAATTTGATGGAAACTAGAAATTCAAATGATGCTTCAAAGCATAAATTTAAAAAATGCTGCTGCGAGAGAAATTGATAACGTACATGTTTCAATTATGTCAGTCATAAATATATTTTTAATTTACATTAAAATAAAACCTAAATAAGTTGAAAACCTAAAATAAACTGAACTCCACGTACAATGTTATTTGTTACACATAAGTCTGTAGGTCGTGGAGTACGGTAATACTTTTACCAAATCCTGATAATGACTTAGTTCTTAGTTCGACATTTCGAAATTTAATTTCACTTTCAAAATTTACTTTAATAGATTAGTGATTATTATATCATATCCGCTACTACTTCAGATATCTGAATTAGGCGCTGCACGATAATTAGACTTCCAAAGTGTAATTAATCTTCTGTAATAGTTGGTGAAAAAAATTGCCATTATATAGTAACACGCCTTTGGGCGAAATGCGCAAATAAAGCGCTGCAGCTATTAAACTGCAATCAGAAATGGTTCACAGGTCATCGTTCTGCACGTGATTTTCTACCGGTAAACCACGATCGTTACCCCGTTTGGAAAAAAAAATATTTGAGTTACTTCCTGATGGATTTAATAGGATCAAATGGGCGAATACATATATTTACGCCTGATGGGCGTGATATGATGTAGTTTCGATGTCTGTAGGCCAGCCTTACAACTAAATGTTGAAATGGAAATAAACATTAGTAGACGATAATTAAAAGCTAATAATTTCCTTCCTAAAAATTTGGATTATTAATAATACTAGCATAAAAAGACCGTATTCGTAAACCACAAAGAAGTAATGTATTCATATCTAAGCTGTTAACGTTCTTTGCTTTCATATTCTAACTTTGTCTATTTTGCTATTCTCTATTGCTAGTCTATATAACTATTTTGCTATTCACACAAGAAGCACATTGATAACGTGCCATCTTTCGCTGAAAAGTATTTTTTGCAGCCAACAAAATGACCTTCTTTTCGCTGTCATTAAAAATATGCAAACATACAAGAGATATTAATGTATAATCAATTATTTAAAGATACTAATCAGCGTTCCAGTTTTTTACAGACCAAAGTACGTGCGTTTCACGATGAACAATTTGCAATGCAAAGATTAATGTCTTGTTGCGTAAGCGGGTATTCAAATGTTAAGCATTTACATAAAAGAAAAGACAAATAATATGCCATAATTCATAAGAAAATGAAATTATACTGGCCGTTTAAGGTTTTTGTACAAATAGTGCTGTGTGGGATAATGTAAAGAAAGTGCACGATATACTTTCGCTTATAGGACTAAATTGGCAGATCCAACTGTGCTGAAATATGAAAAATTCACTGTTTCCTATTTATGTAAACTAAAATTAGAATTGGTGTCTAAATATTGACTGTTTTATATTCAAATAAGGAAAAACGCTTATGCAAATACAAGACCAGACGATTATAGACTGTGTTAAAGCGAAAAATATGGTTCTTTATTAAAAGCTTAATAGAGTAGATAATTTACTTATATGGCGGAAATGCTTAGAAGTATTTGTTATTACCATAATCCAAATCTCTCAAACTACCTGAGTCAACCAAACAGGTCTAGTAGCTCATGATATCACTGCTAAAGCTGATTGAAGTTTAGTATCCTGCGCTTTGTTGTATTTTTTTAATTGTACTAAAGGCCTTGAACACTGAATACAAAATAAATTCTAAATATGAATAAAAAATAAACGCTTGACAAATCGTTCATTGAAATCAAGTGTAAACATTTTAAAACCGTACAAATAAATTAGTGTTTTCAGAATAATAAAATGTGTTAGAATCACGTTAATCTTCTACTTTCATGGAGTCAAATGTAGTCCAATCATCCTAAATAGAACAAAATTGTATCCCAGCTTTAACGATTACTTTCGAGCTAAATTTTCAAATTACTACTTCGCACAAAGGCATTTCTTTTTCACCATCAAAGTGCACTGAATAATTAACGATAACCAAATGAGGCGATAACACTGGGTAAACATTAACGTAACCATTATAAGTTTAACTGTTCAAACATTGCCCTTCTGCCATGAAGAAATTTACTCATTCGAAATTACAGACACTTTAACAGAGATCTTTTAAATGCCAATGGCTATCTAGAACATTAAAATTGCAAAATATTATTGTCTTAAATAAAAAGGATTTTTCTTTGTATGTTATCATATAATTTGTTTGTATCAAACTGTATAGTATTTTATAGTCTAGGAATATGTGTCATTCTCCTGAGATAAGAAAACTGTGTAGTTTCCAGATCACCCCAGTTTCATCTTAATTAATGTAATTTTTTATTTCGTATATTTTTGTGAACGTTAAATCACAAAATATTTTCAGTTTAAACATAAGTATGTTGGTGTGTTTCTGTACAAAAAATTTGGTTAGCAAACTGTCGCTATTGTCTCTTCGAAATTTTTATTATTTTTAATTTTTATTAGATAATATGTTGTGCTTGACAATACAATGCTTGAAAAAGGTTTTATTATCGTTTTTTCTTCAAGTAATCCAACTTGATCGATTAAAGTAATAAAATATTCGTTACTCATGGATTTGAGCCAAAAGTTGAAAATAGAGTTGCTATTGTTTTAAACCTCAACAAATTGTTTCGCATGTATTATTTAAATTAGAAATGTTCTTATATATCGTCTTCAAATTTATACCGACAAGTCAAGTAAACGAAAATATAACCGGATAAATCATCGAAGACCACGCAGCCTTTGCTGAAAATTGCTGCAAGTTCAGAACACTTAAGAGTGGAAGTTCAAATAACAAAAAAAACCTACTTTGGTTATTTGTAAGCAAATTCAATCTAAAGAATTCTAAAATTTAAAAAATATGGCAATATATATAAAAAATTCCTAAATCAAATACAAAATAAATTCCTTCTAATGCATAACCAAGGCAAATACTTAGATGAAATTTTTTTTGTATTCCCTAATTCGATTTTTGGTACGACATTTCTAAGCATTTCCAGCAACCTAACAAAGTATCACAATCAGAATAGCTCATGAATAAATCCTGTATTAATGGCTTAAGCAACTATTGTGTCTATTTTACCATAAATTTTCGGAAAATCTGCAAAATGAAACATGTAGCGTCGTATGCTAGATTGTACTGTACCGATAAAAGAACTGGGTTAAACTGTCATATTATTAAGCCTCACTCATAATAAAACAAAGAAGTTCCCAGAGCCGTTATTTTGGTCTCCACTTAATTGCCACATTTTGTGCTCGAAAGTGGCAAAAGGCTTCAAACAATAGAATGTAAATATGAAATATTTAATATCTAAGTGATATTTCGCATTCTATCATTAATATGTGTCGAATCAAAAATATTCATAAATAATTTGTTTGCTATCATCAAAGACTTTTGCCTGAAACTGGCAATCAAATAGATAATAAGCCAGCAGATTAATTCGACATATTGCACAGGACAATAAAAGCATTAATTAATTAATTAAGCAGCATTTAAAACAAATATGATTTGTACATTCCTATGTGAATTAACCTAGACATTAGTAGCTCCCATCTTGCACAAATGTGTGACCTTCTAAACGGCTTTTTGCTTATGAATATAATTTTAATAATATTGTTTCCTAATCGCCGTTTTTTCTGTTTCAGAATTTCGCGTACAATGGAACGCTACCACATTTTAAAATTGGGTAAGTGATCCCATTGCTTAAGATGTAGCATACAAAAACAGGCTTTGCATAAAACGTTAAATGTCACATTACAATACAATATATCAAGGACATTTTTTGATGAATGCGTTTTAATTATTGGGCTTTTTTCATGTTTGGATTTACTGTCGGGCTTGTTAAGAAAAACTGGTTTAACTGGCCTGGCTAATTGAAAATATAGTTATTTTTTATCCCCTGAAAGAAAAATTGCCAATATACTTCTAGACAAACATTAATATTAGCAAAATTTAAAAGGTACCTTAAATAACTCAGTAAGGGAATGTAATATTGGAATAATTAAAAATTGGTTCTGAAGAAAAGCAATCCATGCTTATTTCGCTTGTCTCGGCGATACTTGAAATGTAATCTAATCCATTTGTAATCAGGATTGCGTAAAACATATTTTTTCTCAAATAAATGTAGCTTTTCTACTGCGGTTACAAAACATACATTTCTCGATAGATATCGATTAATTTCCTAAATAATTGTATTATTTTAAATGTTTAATGAAAAAATAATTGATCGCGCAGATTCTGTTACAAGTAATTTCCATGTTTTTTTTTTGGAAAATATTCAAATGTTTATTTTTTAAATATACATGTTTGGAATTCTCAGTTCAGCCCACAATCACTTAACATTTACTTGAAATGTTTGCAATGCTTCCGGGTCTAAATCTATAACTTGAATTGGAAATGGTTGATTAAGTTCCACAGTCCAAAGTCGAAGAATTCCCCATTAAGTTGGAAATAATCGAGTTAAATCTTTAGATATTCAATATTTTTGCTTTATTTACTCTCATTATCAACTAGTGAATTCAAATAAACAATTTTTTAACCATGGTTAACCTAAACGTCATTATTTATTAATATAAATTTATTATTGTTATCAGCATTTATATTTTATATATTTTACTCAAGAGCAAAAATGAAGCAAATTGAAACTGAACGTCACTTTTACCTTTTTGATTGATATTTTGAGAAGAGCGAATAAATCCGCTTTTGTGCTGCTGCAAGCGAACATTGTTAGTTCATTATCAAGTTTTGTAGACCGCACATGATAATTATTCCCACTAATCAATAATTCGCTCAATTTTAAGCGATAAAATAGGAAAATTCCCATGTTCATTAATCATTGTAATTATGCCAAATATTTGCTTCAACTTAAAAAATGGCTGTACTAACGTGTTTATTCATTGTCAAGTTTTGTAGACCTATACATGACAATTATTCTCACTAAATCAGCAATTTCCTCAATTTTAAGCGACAAAATTGAAAAATTCTAATGGTCATTAATCATTCTAAGAATACCAAATATTTGCTTCAATTTGGATCAACAAAAGTGGCTATATTTGATATTGATATAAATAATCACAATCTAACGTAACAAATGCTCCCAATTTATCAGATAATATTTCACTCTAAAAACCAAAACTGGAAACCTGAAAAGCAAGAACTTGTCCTGGATTGAAAGATTTCTTCGATTTTACGAAAATTGGTCCTAAGCAGGCATATAAATCAGTTGTAGCCACTTTATGTTGAAAACAATTTGCAATTTCCAAACCATCGCAAACAAACACTTTATTGCAATCCTCTGTATAACGGTTATGATATATAAGCCTATGAAATAAATGTATTCTTATCTATTTTTCTCAGATGGATATACAGCTCTGACAGCTTGATTAACGATCGATTTAATTAACCATAATTATTCTACAAAAAAAGAAATTACCACACATCATTCAATAAGATGAATTCTTTTCACTCACTGAACGGAAATTTTCAATTACTCCGTTGAAATTAATATCAAAACAAAAAATGTGTATCAAACAATCACAGCTAATAAAAAAACACGAGTACCTACATCATACATATTAAATCTATTTTAATTCAGCATTTGGCAGTTGGGTAAAATGCAAAAATGTGTAAGTACTTTCGAACTAGTCGAACAATAAAACAATGTAGTACGGTGAAATGATCACAATGGACTGACACCCAAAAAATACTGGATGTCATCGTTATAAATGATTGTATCTAGTTGAGTTCCATCCATTTGTCTGGTTCAAATTGGATGCAAAACAGTGGTGTAGTTGTTGAGTAATTTAAATATCGATTAGGAGCTTTCTAAAGAATTCAGTTCATGCGTTTGAATCTAATCTGAGATCAATCAGCGGAATTATACATATTTGAATTACTACTTTTGTCGTTAAGCAGCCTTATAATGGATGGTATGATTGACATTCTGCAAATCACATTTGGAGATATGCAATTAAATAAATGCACATATATTTTTCTTTAAATAGCGTGAAGACAACTGCTCTAAATATCCATTTCTCGGATGAATAAAAGAAAGTTTGTGATGTTGACAACAACTGAAAAAGCTAAATCATGTCCTCAAAGAATGAAAATGTTGAAAAAGTTACGCAAAATATTCTATGCATTTTCTCAGGCACTTGAATAAATTATTTATAAGTATGGTTATATAGAACACTTTGTAGAACCCCCAATAAACATTCCTTCAAATTTGTGTGAAAAATTAGAAACGCAGACTTTTAAATTATTTCAATTCTAACTATGAGGTTCCAAAAAAGTGCTCATTTCCTTACCTAAACCAATGGTGCGAGATTGACGAGAATAATTTGCATTCGAAGATTTATGCATAATTTTAAAAACCAAAAGCATATAAAGACTTCAAAGATGCCGCCAGAGAGATATTCGGAAAAACACAATAAAATAAAATAAATTAAATTAATACAAAAGATTTTTTATTTACAAAAGATGGTCTTATTTTTTCCCATGTCTGTCCAATTAAAAACAGCAATAATCCATTGAAAACAAGTTTTTTTTATTATCATACAGTATAACTACCGATACATGAATCGTCGTGTAAACATAAATCTTCAACGAAAAGACGGCTAGATAATGGATCGAGCCATACTCAGAGGAAGAGTTTTGTGAGGCGGTTAACAGCCTCTAGCATTAGAACATGAAAGTGTTGACGTTATTTTATTACATGGGTGTGATACTATTAAAACGAAGATATTTATTATTAGTATTTAAACATTTAATTGCCAAGGGTTGGAAGGTTTAGAATCCTAAATGGGTCTGCAAGATTGTCACACCTAACATTTGGATTGATGATGAGACCTCATTTCCCATGAAGAGTTTTTGTGGGGATGCTCGGACAAAATAGTGTACGCAAGATCAATTGACAGTAAAAAGAGATGATAAATTGACTCTAATCGGAACTGAGCAAGCTAAAGTGGCACATCTTCTTCTACGTCTTTAGTACCGCTAAATCAGAACATATATTATATGTAAAACATGATTATGAGCCATTATTGCCCACTTATTTATGGGCCTCTACTTTGTATGGCTTCACTTTCTTCTTCAATTAGAGCACAGAGCACAACTACTTCATTCAGGTACTGACTGCACGTATAATATATAATCTTACTTTTTTTCTTAATGCTCATAAAAAGAAACTCCGGTTTGTTCGTAATTTTAAATTTACATTCTCCAGTCAATGCACCTTTTCACTCGTCYGCATATTCTCTTTATTTGTCTTCAAACTCTGACTTCAAGATCCCTACTTGATGTAATTTTTTACACCTATTTAGAAGCCAAAAATTCTTAGATATCGAGACTTTCGTCAAATCGCTGTGTCGCTATTGGGAATCTATCAGAAGAGAGTTTTAAGAATTGTAACTAATTTATGATAGTATCAAAGCAATGAAATCTATAATCATCTGATGTAAAGAATTGTAGTAATGATATGAAAGTGCTCAGAAATAAATTGTTTAAGCTCTTATTAAAAATCGAACAATAAAATATGGAATATTTGTCACCACTGGAATAAATTAGTAAATTTGTTTCTGTTATACTACATAATAATATGCATAATTTGTTATTGTTCTTTCTGGTCACGCTATTTTGCTATTTTTCTTAGTTACTATAGGAATTATTCTTTTTTAGGTGCTGATGTACAAACCAAACCTAACAAAATAAATTTGCTACTCATTTTTGTAGTTGATTCTAAAAATATTGCACAATGGTAATGACGCTGAATTTTAAAACAGCTCGGAGGAAAATTTTGCGAGCACTGTTTTAATTTTTCATGTACAAAATGACATGTTACATAATTAATTAGAGTGAACTACAAAAGTTAATTAGTTGCTTACACTATTATTACAGGATACTTCACATTGTATTGAGATCCGACATTTAATTTAACACACATACACAAGTAGTGCTTTACATCAATCATACATATTCAAGACGTTTCATTTCACAAAATTTATTTAGAAACCATATGTTTTTTGGTTACAACATTTTACTTTATAAATCCATCCCAGAATAATTAATACACTTTTGGGAATGAAAGAACCTACGCAAAATCAAGAAAAAGTAGTTTAATCACCAAAATTACGTTGAAATATAATGTTTAGATGCAAAGTTATAAATATTAGACCTGACAAAATGAGAGTGAGTAGAATTATTATCTCAATTTTGCGATAATTATTAATATTCGATTTCATAAGAATCTGCAAATATCAACTATGACGTTTTAGCAAAACTCTTTGGATAAGTTTTGTCATTCATTTCAGCTAATTTACATGTCTGCTAAATTATGTAGTTATACCCCAATCACTTCCTGAGAGCATCTGCACGAAATCAGATCAAAATATTAATACTATGGCAGAAAAGAAATGGTGTGGTAACTATATGCTTTTGTTTCATCTTATTAGCGGCGTGTGAACGTTATGAGTTATCGGTGCAGATTTCGAATGTTACGTTTTGACGCAATAACCTATTGTAGATCCAGTTGAATAATCAATTTTACTCACGATGGGTCTACCATGATTTATCGCGGCAAATGAATGTCACTCAAATTAGGAAATTTACTATGCTTTGCTTAGAGAAGGTAGATAAATATGTTACAACATTGAGGTACAGCGTAGCTATTTTCTAAATTAGGATGAAAACTCATTATCTTCGCCAAAGACAATGGTGACCTGCCGATAGCACGACATTTAAAGTGATAAATGTATTGAACTTCTAAGATTAATCTTTGGATCCTCAACCATGGACATTAAAGAAGCATCTGCACATTAAAATATACAAGATCAGTTGGATAAAAATAAAACATGGTTCTTGACTTGAATTTTTATAGCTTATATCTGTATACGGAAATTCAAAAACCGATATTCAACTGTATAATTTGGAGTTGAAAGTCCAGTGGAAAAAACATTCTATAAAAGTTGATTAAAGTAATGTGTAAAGTGCTGAACTGTAATTCAAGATGAGTTGAGAGAAGCAGAAATTGCGTAATTACTCAATTTCTTTTAGTTTCAAGTATATTAATTAATCGGAAAATCCACTCAGTACAAAATTTAGCAACAGAGAAATTACGAAAACGGTTGAGTCGACTTTTACAATCGAATAGCGATGAACTCTATTAATGGAGATCTTGTTTTTTGTTTAAACATCCTTTAACTTTGCGGGTTGCCTTGATTGTAAATTATAGTTGTCATCACATTTTCTTAAAAAAAAATGGAAAAAAACTGTGCTTATTCGGCTTAGTGAGTTATCGCTAGGCAGCAATATCTTTTTAGCCCAATAAATGATGGAAATAAAACTGATTAATTTTTCAAGCTTTCATGCATCCGCAAAAAGAATTTCCCTGACTCCGCATCTTCAGAAAAGTTTTGCTGGTCCGTACAGGGTAAGCTTTTGAAAATAACACCTCTGAAGATGAAACCGGTTCGTGCTTCCAAAAACTTAGAAATACATTCAACATATTTTTCAAGACTGCCGAAAGCCCAACAAACTTGTCAATTTTAAACAGTAACAGTGAAAAATTGTTACTCAATAAAACTCACTGTCGTCTAGCCAAGGCTAGATATGAAAATTAAAAAATAAAATAAAAAACGATCAATGAGTTGTTAATTAATAACTGGCGGCAGGTAAAATTAATGAAAAAACTGTATCAATTATTATGCAAAACAAACGTCATGTAGAGTACTGAACAAATCAAACAGAAACAAAAATTACGCATTTGCATACCTACAAAAGTAAGCAAGTTGTCCTTACTTTGTTGTTTTTTTTTAAATACTTAAGGGACAAAAAACGAGAACATCAGATGATCCATTTCCTTTGCATTCGCATTACAACCCAAACAAAGAAATATATAATAATCCCAGATAAGCATCTAAATGGCCTCAAACCACCAGAACTTTGAAGACATTGTTGCCCAACTACAAATAAGACCGCTAAAATATTTCGGTAAAACAATTGGATTTGTTTCATCAACTCGATTGCCAGTCAGAAAGCTATTCTACTGGATTTCCGGTCATTACGGTGATTTAACAAGGGATAGATGGATGGATTGTTCAAGATATGGGGAATTTAATGCCAGAATATTGCATATGTGAAGATATTTTCTACTCAATAAACAATATTTTCGTATAGTCATTCTAATTAAGAGAAGAACTCTGCATTTCAATTAAGATAACATCATTCGACAGATTCAAAATCAATCATAGGATATTGTTAGCACCTGTTGTCAAGGCTAAACTTCTTCTAGTTGAGGATGTGAAAAATATCGCCTGCTCTAGGTTTTACCAGAAGCTTAATCATTAGTAGTAATAAACTGGTTTATTAAATCACACGATTAAAATAAATATAAGTACCTACGAGCAAAAAAATGAAATTTTATCTTAAGTTAAATAAATTTAAATTACTCATAAATTATAAGTAACAATAGAAAAGAATTAGAAAGACATTAGAAGTTACTATTGACTTAAGAATCCATCAACGGGATTTTGGTACATATTGAACCGAAAGTGAAAATATATCATAAGAAAATAAATTTATTAAAATTGTCATATTTTTTCGACCATTGTATATTTTTTGTAGTGTATATTTTGGTGTTTTGCTATCTAATTTCCGATACTTTTAATAATACCTACAAAACGGTGATTGTTTCGCAATCCTTTTTTTTGTTCAGTTGATTCAGTTTTAGCAATAATTCAATGTCTTATACCAATGAAACCTTGGTCAGTAAGAACAACTTGCCCATTTGTAAGATAACAATTGAAAACAATCTGATAAACTGGAATACAGGAATTCATCAGAAACCAAACACAATTTTGGTATTCTTTCGTAAACGGAATTCTAATACAATTGATCATTGAAGAACCAAGCTCGTTTGAATTGTAAAAAACTACTAGATAAACGATGTTGGAACAAAGTCAAGGCAGATCTTAATTACACTTTACAAGTGTAATTAGCAGATAAACGCCGGTAAAAATCGGTCAATGAAAAGAATGTCTATACTAGGTAGTTAGCATATTTGGTGCTCCTGCGGCCTGCCTTTCATGCGGCTGTTAATGATACAGACTAAAAACAAAACTCATAATGCCTAATAAATGATGTTTCGTTGATTATCTAACAATAAATTAGCGCAGGTAGTTTAATGATTTATAGCCGTAACCCATACATGTACTCAAAGAAGTAGAATAACAATCGAAATATCAGTTTCACAATTAATAATACTGGAATCACAGATGGTGAGAGATGCTTAATTAAACTTGTGGTAGCTTATATTGTTGGAGAAAATATTAGATAATATCGATTGATGACCGCCCTTGACTTTTCCCAAAACAGCTTTTAACTATGATCCTTCTAAAGTTCCAGTTTAACCGGAAACTAGAAAGTTTCTAACTAGAATGCCAAAAAAATTAAATTGAGTTTGAAAAGAACTTATTTTACTTTATTTAGATATTGTTGTTTTTTTTTCAGGTCTAGCCATAACATTCTACGCAGCTTACTGTATCCGACCAATGGTAAGTTATCGGGTGTATGCAAACAAGAATTAAATAATTAATTTTTTTTCAGCTGGTCTACAGTCTAGAAGCCGATAATGAATTAGACAATAACGCAAAAATTCCCGATCTTGAATATTATCAATACTTTCAAGGAGTAGATGGAAGACCAGGTATAGATTTTCCTGTATACTCTTATATTCCCCGAACAGGATTTAGTTGCAAAGGAATAGAGTCTGGATATTACGCAGACTTAGAAACGAATTGCCAAGTAAGTAAATGAAATAAATTAATTATCTTATAMATTTTTTAAAGCAATAATAACTTAATTAATTTTTTAWTARTCTAACTTATCAATTAATATACTAGAATTTTCGTATATTAAGAATGTTAGTATGRTATTTATTAGATAATACGTAAGTAGCTATCTTTTAAGTGAATGAAAAGGAAAAACAGTRATACCCTTTGCGTGCAGTAACTTWGTACAATACTTGCTTYTACTYGAAGTTGTTTCTTCATTTAAACTGTACGCTTAATATSTTGCTAAATAAGATATAGATATGGTATAAAAATTACAGTTTCTATATAGGTAACTTCAAAAATATTAAGAATTTCCATAAATCGACATCTGCCAGATAGATTCGCAAAATCAAAGATACAAACTTAAACTTGTAAGTAAGTAACCTGAGAAAAGTTGCAGGTTTTGAAAAGATTTAAAATTCAAATTTTCGTTGCATTTTGAAAAAATGATCATCAGATCTCAATTTTTGACCTCTTAAAGGGATTTGCGGTTTCCACGTTGGGACTGAGTCTTTGTTCAATCGGTTTACGTAAGAAATTTTTCATAATATTTTGATAACCATGAATAAAAGGTGGTACAAGTTTAAATTGAGAAATTTTGCCATTAAATATTTTTATACCGGGAAAATATACAATTTTGCTAGTACAAAAATTGCAAAATGAAATTTTTTTGGCAAAAGGCAAACTGTACTTTTAGAACCAAACCATAGGTTCTATAATGCTATAATTGTATGTGGGGCAATCTTCAAAGGGGGATCCAAATAAAAATTAAAAGAATGTATTAATAGATAACGCGGCAATTTTCTGAACAATGTTCTAATGAAATGACTGAAGTGTAAAACGCTTGGTTTGTCGCTTGGTAAAATTGGTTTCGAATAAACGACTTACTGCTGTTTTGGTAAAATGTTCGCGTACTGAATCAACTGAACTGTTTTTCATGTTTAACGATATGTTCGAATCCACATTGACATGCTCCATTGCACAGCCGAAATAAAAATAACAAAATTGACAGAAAAAAATGAGAATGAATGGTTGTGGAATGGAGTGGAAAAATATGTACTTACCTAAATTTGACTGGCTAATTCGCCAAAACTGCCGATGTTGCTCCCCACAAATAACCAAATAGCTCCATGAAGACTCAGGATACGAATGTTTAACGAATTTATGACGAAAATAACGTTATTAATTGCAACTCGCGAAGAACTAATACACACCAAACAGTAACACATTAAAATCACCTTTTCTTACTTTTAACGCCAAATTTCTTTCAGACAATTGTACGATATTACTCGACATAATACTCTTATCGCCGAATGTAAATGCTTCGAACTTCCCGAAAACCGGTTTATGCAAACCTACACTTCCGATGTTTAGGGCTAAAGTAAACAAAAATACTTAAATCGTAAAATAAACCAATTATCTCTAATTCTATCCCTAACCCTTTAGACGTAATGAAGCTATTTCATTCCAATGGCACACCTTGCATATCTTGATTATTTAAATATTCTCAAAAATCATTAAGACGGCAAGTAAAAAATGAAAAGATATTTAAGACGTATTTGGAAAATATTTCCTTGTTAACACAAAATTTTTAATTTTAATTTTAAGTTTATTTTTATTTTAAGTTATTTTAAGGCAATACCAAAAGAATTGCTGTTTATTTTGGAAAATACCAATAATAGTTTCCTTGCGGAAACGAAATAGTATCATTTTCTGTAGACAAGCAAGGTACCAAAACTTAAAGAACTACTAAATGTTTGTATTAAATATTTATACATTGTCTTAATACACTCTATTAAACATATTTTTTAACTGCAGCTTTTATTACCTGATGAGTTCTCTTTCGATTAGGACAAACAATTATAATGTCTCTTAAAAATATTGGAAATGATTCTAAAAATGACTCGCATAATAAGTTATCTATTAGCACCAGAAAAAAATCTACATTTAAGTTGCATAGTATATATTTTATAGGTTTTCCATATTTGTGAAGACGGTCGAAAAGTGTCGTTCCTGTGTCCAAATGGAACCATTTTCCAACAATCAGAGTTGATATGTGAATGGTGGAATAAAGTAAATTGCACAAACGCACCCAGCTTGTATGAAGAAAGTGCCGAAAGGTTTCAGAATGACATTGTTAGAAGGAAAGCAAACAGAAGAGTTGGATCACAACGTGGTAAGCAGACAATCCATAAATCTTCATATTTATTTTTAATTGTTTCTAAACTAGTTAATTAAAAATTAAAATTTAGAACAAAACATTCTTAATAGTGGATATCGTTAATCTTAAATATGTCGACTAAAAAACAATTAAAAATTGTCCAATACAAATTTGTATTCAGAATGTTATGCAATAATTTGAGGTCCTTTTCTTATTTAGAACAATTCAAGGTGAGACATTTTTAAATAGGACACTCCAAATAGTATGCATTATCCGAGACTATATTTTTACTATGAAATTTAGAAAGACTTTGTAAGTATTAAAAATATTTCAGTTCTGCTTTTAGAAATTCCCAAATTAGAAGCAGAAAGGAAAAATTAAATATTATTGTTCTGATCTCCTATTTTTACTATTTGCGTATATCATTTTAAGCATCCTTTAATTGCTGACAAAGTGCGATTGAACATTTTGCAGAAAAAAGTTTGAAAAAAGGTCAATTATAGCACAAATAAGTATTTTCAGCTACGTAAGTAATTTGGATTAGTTGGCTTTATAAACATTAAACTACAAAAACTTTTTTTTTTCATGTTTCCTAGGTGGTGACTCAAATCATGGTGCCATCATGCGTACAGAGCAACGTTCTTCAATTCGTGCAAGCAAAAATGGAAAAGACTATGCTGTCCGTCAACAACAAAACAACTCAAACCGTAGAATTCCTGATAACAACGACATCGAACAACAAATAGATCAAGCTGAATCCAACAACAGATATCTGGCAAATGCTCAAAACACCATACAATCATCCCAGAAAGATTCCCGAACTGTTACGCGACAGGAAGTTTATCCTAATCATAAGTATAATACTGATCAAGAATCCCCGAATAAAAATCAGCCAAGTAGGACGAAGCAAACTAAAAAAGATATTGACAAAGACACTGGCAATTACTTGAATAACAATTATGACCAACGTGCGAGGAACTCAAAGAGGATTGAGCAAGGCCAGAAGAATCGATTCGACAGCGGCAGCAAGAGAAATCAGCAAAAAATGACTACTTTCAAAGAATACCACACCCAATTTGAATCAACTCCTTCAATGGCCCAAGAAAACAAATTCAATGATTATACAAAAAGCCCTTCGACTTTTCCGGCGTCTACCGAACCTACAACAGGAATAACTTCGTATGATAACACAAATCCGTCCAACAGAATCAGTTCAACGGCAGCACCTGTAGAACAAACTACATCTAAAAAGTTTGCATACGGCACCACAGTGAAAGAGAGATTCAGCAGCTATGCTGCTAGAACGTTCCAAACCACCAATGTTCAAAATAACTTCCGTGGGAGTGTAAAGTTTAACGCAAACCCACTTGACTCAGGTGCATTTTCAACTCCGATTACCACTTATTCGCCTGTCATTAAGTACTCCACCTCTCGAGGCTCTACTAAAACTATCAATGACGAAGACCGTTTCCCAGAGTTGCCATTCCCGAAGCACAAGTCCGAGCAGGTTCAAAGTTACAGCACTGTAAATCCTCCAACCTCTCGAAAAGTGGCTTCAGCAACTTTCCCAGGTCAAATTAGGGTAAATGTTGAACAACCAAAAGCTGAGTCTGAAGAGTCGCAAATACCACAAGAATCGTCTTCATTTGTAAAGAGTGGGCTGAACAATATTTCGGATGATTCCTTTAAAACTTCTCCGAATCCCTATCCTAACCACAGAACGACCTACTCCGACTTAAAGGAGCACAGTTACCTAGAAGCGCCTAAAATTTCTGCCATATCTTCAATAACTCCTCATTTGGTGACCACTCAACCAATCAACAATGGGAAGCCTTTCGTGGGGAGCAGAGTCGGCAGCACTGTGCTACCGAATCAATCAACCACTCAATCCAAATACACCTATTTGCCCACTAGTACCGCTAGCTCTAGGCCAAGCATTATACTAGGAGTGATTCGACATAGTTCCACCACAGAACTCTCTCCTTTTGGGCCTCCGGAAATTCCCAAAGTTGATAGTTCTTACAGAATCGATCTGTTTAATACCGGGGAGACTGACAAAACACTTCCACCTGTAGAAACCACTACATCAGTCACAAACTCACTGCCAACAGAAATATTCAACGTGGGTAAAACCGACACAACAATTCAAGCAAATGTTTTGCCAAACATTGATACCACAGCCATCCCACCTTTGGAGATTTATGTCCCAGATCATGGTTCCTTAAACGTTGGTCAATCGGAAAACAATCAAGAACCAGTTAATGAACCTCCCTTTATCAAGAAAAATGTCCCCTTATTATACTCAGGCCGTGACAGTACTGAAAGAACACTCAATCAAGCTACCATATATGGGACGTATCCTGCAAGCACCCAGAGATCAGCCGCTTTTTCCAAAAATACACCATACAGCCCAACCGTTCCTACTGTGACTCAGCGCTCATCAACCACTCAATTCACTTCAAGCAGTACTCCTAGAACATCCAACATCGGAGTACCAATAAGATTCAATAAAGACCAGGAGAAAATATCGATTCATCTCTCAAAAAGCGTCGGAAGTCAGCAGCGGGGCAACGATTTGCCAAGATCTTCTAATGGTATCCAAACTTCACCTCTGCGAGTTGGGGCTGTTGTTCATGTAGCTGACGAACAATCATTCCCAAGCCGACCTACTCCAAGTCCCCAAGCTCAAACAACTGGATTCTTTATCACCAGAGGATCGAGTAACGGGTTTTCAACTAATCCTCCAAAATCGAAAACAGAAAAACCCAGACCTTTCGCTAAGAGTTTAGAATTCGGGGAGAAATTGAATCAAGGTTCGTTCAAAATGCTCCGTTTGGAAAATAATGCTTATAGGAAATTTTCAGCAACATCAGCTGTTCAAACTGATGGAAGTACAGCATTTCCCACATACCATATTTCGAGTGCGAGGCCTTTTGGAGTAAGTGAAACAACTTCGCCAACTCCTTTGCTTACGACCCCAACTATACCCAGCTTCAGCGTGTATGACAACGTAGATAATATGATTGGGGTTCTTCAAGAAATAGCAAATTTCAATTCGCAAAAAGATTCGTCCGACACTCCTCGCCGAGGTGAGTTTTACGGTTTTAGCACTTGCTGATTATACGTCTCAAAGTTAAAGCGTAAGACATCAAACAAATGTTTTGCATCAAACCGACTAACGCAAATACATTGAACAAATACGACTAATTTCAATTAACTACATTTAACAACACATACATACACATACCAAAAACTCTGATTTAAAGCAGTTTCTCAATTTTACACTGCTTAACTAGATCTGATCATTCCTCCATCGGTGGGCCCCCAAACCCTCCATTCGTTGGCCCAATATTTTGCCAATGAATTGGAAAGCAACGAAACTAGCAACGGAATTTTACAACCCGAAACCAAGGAAAAGCTCACAACCCTGTTAACTGCCATGACGGTGCACGGGTAAGATTCCACAGTATCTAAAAGCCCTCAAAAGCTCATGATTTTATTTCAGGTATAATCACCTATTCACATTGGGGTCCCTAGCAAACAAAGAAACCAGTACAAATTCCATTTCTTCACTAGAAACTACTACTGTTTTAACACCATCTAGATTGGGAAATGAGGAAAATAAGGTGGAGCAAAATGAAGATCGCCCTGAACCTGAGGGAACCGTAACTGATGACGAACTTCTTTCTACAACATCAATTCCTGAGCTGAGACAACTAGCAAGAAATTTCTCGCTAGCGTTGTCTAGCTATTTGAACGATCCCGATAATTTCAAGAAACGTTTGGAAGAACTGAGACCGACGGAACCACCGGCTGTAGATGGAAGTGATAATGTGGAATCAAGTAATATTATAACAATAATTTACCGGGCTATGCTATCGTGCAATGATTACGCGATTTTTTTTAAATATTATCAGAGTCAAAATGTAAAAATCAAAATCTTAGGTACAACCGAAGACGAACTTCTCAACTTTTCCGACGCCGATGTAAAACCCAGCACGTCAGCAGCACCATCAGCAACTTGGGGTTATATTATAGCAGCAGAAGCCAATAAAGAGCCTTTCGAAGATGTGAAAAACTCACTGAATCCCGACCTAAATACTGCAGATTCTCAGTCATTTGTACCGCGGTTTAACAATGTGCAGGTTGACGAAAAACAAGGAAAAGGATCAACTGACTTGCCTCCAAATCACTGGACCTCAAGTCCTAGAGCTACCCAATTATGGCAAAAAGCATTATCGGTAAGTTTTCGCGATTTAACAAATTAACCCAGTGTAAACATAAACATTTGCCACTTTCAGATCAACCCTGCGGTAGTCAATGATCATTTTGAATCCACAACTTTAAGTATTGACTTTACTAACCAGGAAACAACAACGCCTGAATTGTTTAACGCGGATGTCCTTCCAGAAATTCAACAACCCCATTCGGCAATTAGCTACGATTTGCGAGAATTACCTCCTTTATCTTTAAACTCCACTCAGGTAAATAAGTAACTCTAGTATAAGGAGGATATAGAAACATATAAAATTAATCAATACTCTGTACTGAAAACAAAAGCTCAGACAAACAAATCCAATCCACCGACCATTAGAACTACACCACTTAATATGCACTTAAATTGCCCACAGATTCATGGAATTTTGATTGATTTCATGAACCACACAAAATGGGACGAGCACAATCGGCTCAATCGCATTTTGAAGAAACTGAATACATCCGAAGAAGAATTCCTCGACCGCATGAAGGAGATTGAGTCTAATCCACTTACCAAACGCCTCATATTGCTCCTCATTAGTGAATGTGGTTCAAATATCACTCAAGAACTCGGAATTTCCGCTACAAAACCGCAACCAACTGATGGTACGGCCGAATTAGGACCGACCAGCGCTTCCAGCATAGTCGAAGTGAGAAAATTGGAAAATCATGATTTAGGGGGGCTCGTCCACTCCCATTTAAGCGACGAAGACCAGGATTCTAGAGCACTCCAGCTCTTAAATAGTCTTTATACTATAGCCTCAAAATTCGGAAAAAGACGATAACTTAAGTCTGAATGCTAGATTAATTGAATATTAAATATTTTTGCTACCGTAAGCTCAACGTTTAATTAACAGCAATAAAGGCATGTTCTAATGTATAAATCTCAGATTCCTATAAATTAAAAATGTATCGTAAATATTGATAATCCTGAAACATTGACGGAAACCTAAGGCATGTTATACTTGATCAGAGAAACAATTTTGAGAAGTGTGGAATATTTGGCGTACTTTAAAGGGTAGAAAATATAATTTGATAAAATTTATAGTTAATTTTAAATATGTACGGACTCACTTGAAAGTTGTTTACTGCATTCAATATATCTGAAAGTCACAGATACTAATACTAAACAAAATGTTTAGTATCCTGGAAATTACTATTTAGTCATTGAAAAATTCAATTTTATAATACAATTATCAATTGCTCAATACAATTTAATGGAAATCCATTACACTATAATCAATATGAATGCAAATTTACTCAACGTTGAATTAAATCTAGCTGATAGTATAATTCTAAATACAGATACAAGGCCCTCATTTCGAAACATATGCTTACCTTCAATGCTTTGCGTACTTAGCAAAAAATACTTCGGGAGTAAAAAGTTGATAAATGTACTCGTAAAAAGTGTGAATGAGAATGTCAGAGCGGGTGATTAATATGTTTTGCAAAACTCTATACCTACTTTTATTTATGCATACATGTATTTAATGGTATAACATGGTTTTACTATGATTATTCAGTCGCTGTAGTATAAGTGATTTCTTTTGTAAGGCTTTTACAATAAAAAAATATTTTAAGTGAAATATGCGAAAACGTGCAATTTAAAGTCCTAAAATGTACAGCCAACACGGACATGGCCATTTCAGGATCATTTCCTGGCTTTCCAATTTAAGAAAATTAATTCAAAATTGGCAAATAGTGTCGCAGATAGATGTGATGTACGACGAATATCAATAAGTGTCTAGGATTAATATTTTGCTTAACTTTCCTGTAAATATCACTCAATTCAAATGTAAATATATTATTTTAAAAATATGCTGTTTCATTTATTAGTTAAAAAAAGCTAGTAAAATTATGCTAAGCAACAGTTAAGTAATAAATCTCATTAAATATAAAATTTTAATTCATATTACAACGGATTATCTGCGATTTGAAATTACATTTATATAAAAACAATATATTGCGGGTTATCACAAGAAGTTAACATACAACATACCCAATATAGATAGACCTTTATTAGGCCCTTCAAAACGTTGAAATATTAACATTAGATAAACTAATAAGAGGTAAGTGTTTGAGCAATATTCAAAATATTTTTCTTTATTAGAATACCAACAAAACACAACTATCGTTCTCTAGTGGCATAAAATTGCTGAGAAGTAAATGCTAAAAAATGTGATAATACAATGAGTATACAATATGAGTATGCAAAATGTTGCGTCAGTCAACCATAATTTTCCATTTGTTAGTTGGCAACTGGCAAGCGAAATACAAACTTGAGGCATCACCAACTAACCAATCATACGTGACTCGCTTGTCGTTGCAGTCCATATGGACTCTTATTTTTCCTAAGCATATAAGCTGCAGTAAAAAGGAGACCTGAAATATGTAAATTTCTTTTTAAAAATTCCCGATTTACTTCCATGAAAACATACCTTAAGCCCTTTGTAGAAGTTTGACAAAACCATGGATTTTTCCGTTCCAGACATTGATATTTTACCATCACTATCAATCAAAACTCCATCATTAATTTGTCTTAAGTCTTTGCAATTCTCAATTTCCTTCGTTGTTATTGCCAGAATACAAGTCGACTTACTATCAGCTTCTAAAATCTAACAAAAGACCAGTTATTTCCGACAGTGATCTAACGGTGAGTGAATTAGACTGGCGTTTGAGAGTTTTACTTACTGTGAAGTCGACTGAATCGGTGAAAGACACCTGAGGACCATTGGAGAATAAAACTTTACTGCCGATTTCAATTTGACCCAAAGAAACAATTTTTTCGTCAAGAGAAAAAGTGACACCATTAACTTTCTTAAAGGAAAACCCTGGAAGCGTTGTTGAGCCTACTAGTGCAGCCGACCAAGGGCTCCAATCGGCAGCTCCGTCGAATTTGCAAGAAACACGAAATGAATACGGCTCCTTAATCATAATTTCTCTAAGTAAATATTGAGATTCTGAACCTACAAATATATTTTTACCAAATTATGCTTGACTAAGAAGCAAGTTTATGTTAGTTTAGACAGACACTTAAAAGACTTGTTAATCCGAATCCACTTCAAATTATTAGTCGAAATCGATAATCCGAGCAAGTGAATAGAAACAGTAACAGTTCTGCAAGAGACAAATAAAGAAAGAGACAAATTATGTTCCTAAAGAAAAATTATAATTACCTACTCACAAAATCTGATTAATTTTTAGAGACGATTCTAGTTATTTTGATGTTACTTGAATCAATCGCTACTAAGCAGGCTTAAAATAAATTGCACTTCAACCCATTTGCCTTTACCAATAAAATTAATTACCGTGACCCATAAATGCTGAAGTGTTAAATATAATAGAGTAAAACCCGTTGAAAATTGTAGAATTAATTCACTGCCGAATAAACCATGCTGATTGAAATAATGTGACTAAAAAGTATCTTGACTATCACGGTTAATTTCAACAATGGATGCAATAGAAAAATGAGAAGACGTTTCTAATTTGAGAAGATATCGGTTTCTGATACAAAAACTGGTCTGTAGATTTATAATCTGCTAATAAACCAGCTCACACTACTCCTGTGTGTATCAGTCAATAAGAATAAATTCGATAGTAAGTAAATGAGAGCCTGATTAAAAAAATCATCGGACACGTTGGTTGGCATTTTTAATTGCGCATTTTCCCAAGCTAAAAGTTTTTATACAGGGTGTTTTGATAGTTGCTAATATAAACTTTCTATTTTAAGTGAAACACTTAAAATTCAAATTGAACACTGACTTGAATTTTTGAAATCTTCTTAGCTCTAAAGTGCACTTATCAGAAAAAAACATGTTGTAACTGGATCAGAATTTGAGCCAACCGTAAATTTTTGCAATAAATCTGAAAAATTCTGGCATATTGGACGATATGGTATGCGACATTGTACACAAAATATGTCTAAAATTATCTGAACAATCCAGAAATTGAATAATTTGCGGGGAGTTTCATCTACGATAAAAAATTTTGAAATGGCCAGTGCGGCATGATACACCCTATATAAAACGTTTTCGGTGAAAAAAAAGTGTTACACACTGTATAAATTGTTCCCCTATAAAATCAGTTAGTAATATAAAATAACTACCACCCTGTTATAAGTATGCTATGAAAACGGTTATAAAAAATGTGTAAAAATTCATTTCTTGCATGCAGTTGAAATAGTGTTCACAGTATAAAAAGTATTAAGAGTTGCTGTGGATCGACTCGTCATTAGAAAAAAAACATTATTCTGAGTGTAAAAATTCAAATTTTTAACATCGTGAACTGGGTGAATAAACTATGTTTTCTTAATACTAGTTTTTAAATCACTAGGTGAATAGTATCAAATTCGCTCATATACAAAGTTCTGTAAATGGTAGAAAATTAACCACATCTATCTCAATTTGTCTAAGAAAAATCGAAAGTAAATTTCGTGTCTGGTTTAAGTTTTGCTTTTCACTAATACGGATTTATTTATAACATTGTAAGCCCACATAAAATGCTAAATGAGCTATTGCTGGTTTTACTTAATTTCTCTTGAAAAAATAAAACTGCAGTCGTCCATGCAAAGCCCTGATACTTTTAAGTTAGTTTAAAAAGGCTAACTGAAAAACTACTTACTAATCTACTGATCGTTATTCCTAATCTATTACACAAATACCTACAAGTAAAGCATACCAATGTAACAATCAGAGAAACCAGCAGACAGGTTCTTGTTCTTTAAAACGTTTCCTACTACTTTCTGCAATTTGAATTCTTTAATGTACTTTATGTGGTCATCTGTACTATCTGGCTGATGCCACTCAACTAATAGAGCTGACGGTTTTGCAACAATTGATTTTATCTAAAAAGCAGTAAATAACTCCATTTAGGCGATACTTAAACATTCCATCAACTCATTAATTGCCATTACTCTCTTTCGATAATAGTATTTACTTTAAAAGAACCCGGGGTTAGAATAAGTTGACTAAATTTAACTAAGGTAAACTTGTTTCAATGGAATTATGATTATGATTTCAGAACATTCTCAGCAAATGTAAAATACAAATCAAAATCATAATTTTACGAGTTCTTTCTCTTGTTCCCGTATATTATCATTCCTTTTGATCCAAAGGTTCAATGCATCCACTGAAAAAATGTAGAAGTGATTCTGCTTTATCAAAATTATGAGTCTCAAGCAACCGATTCACAGCAACATTCATTAAAATTTATTGTAGCATTATACCGATATTACAAAACACCAAATTTTTCAAAAACTTTGCCCATCAATAGCAAGGAGCCAAACATTTTTCTTAACAGAAGTTAGGTGAGGTCATTTTCTTTTCAACCGAATAATCTGGCAGTTCCATTTTGATCATGTGCGTATGGGACACCCAGTATTTTAAATACGGGTTAATTTGTCATACTATGGCCAGCGTTCAATTACCGATTTTGATAAAATAAATGTTTACATTTAGAGTAAACAAATGAGGACAAAACCTGTTCACGCTTGATTTGCTTGGACATTTTTTGGCATATAGGAGAATTTTCGGATAAGAAGTTCCAATGTTCGCCGGAAGAATTGTAGGTTTTGTTTCCAAAGTTCAGTTATAGTCAGGGTGGCCATTGTTCGCTTTAAGAAAGTTGGTGTTGTCCAGAGGATCTCGATTTCATCTCTAGAGGGCTTCGATCAGGTAAGAAATGTTTTTTTATAGAAATGATGTGAGCACAAAGCATAGGAGTATCTGCGATGATAATATAAAGACACACAATTTTGATCTGATGCAAAGTGAAACTCATGAAAACCGTGATAACTTTCCTAACAAAACAATTTTGAGTAACGAAGTGGTCAGTCTCTAAAAGCTAAATCTATTGCAAATTACACCAAGTTGCATAAGGATACAGTTTTAATAGTGACGACTGAAACAGTAGATTTTATGTAAATTTTCAAAGTTGTTCTTTCCCAAATTAAGCCTGGTTTCCAGAAGACTATGTGGAAGAAAAAAAGTGCAAAGTGTCTTTTTTGTATTTTTGCCAAATATTTGAAATTATTAGGTTCAGAGATTCTTGATTGATTTACATTTTCTTCTAAAATTATCGCTTGTTTTTACGAAGAGGCCTCATTAAACACATTTAAATCGTATCAGAACATGAATAATATGTAAAAAACATAAATTAATGATCTGAAACTAAACATTTTTTGTATAAAGTGATTACAAGCCCTACTGGGGTCTAGCGGATATATTTTTTTAATTACTCACCTGAACAGGTGGGGCACTGATCACTTCGCCAAAGCCAGACAGCGCAAATTCTAACTGATTACTATCGAGTGGCTCATGAAGGAATACTAAATAGGGTAAATCGCTTTCAGCTGGTATTTCTGGCATATGTCCCAAGTCCTCTGCTCTACTTACAAACTCAGAAAATGCTCTCGAATCGTTTTCCCGTAATATTTGAGGTCCTTCAGTTAGAAGGATATTGGTGGTCTTAATATTACAATTAATTACTTCTTCGCAATGTTTAAGGGGCTCTATAACGCTATTTTTCACCTAAAATATGAAGTGCATTGGCAGCTTTAAAAACTGCGAAAAAATAATACATGGTAACGATCAACAAATATTTAAGGGTGTGCATGCAAATTTAAAGATAAATGTAAAGATGTCAATGTGAAAATAATTGTAATAATAATTATTATCACAATAATTGATTTTGAATGTATATGTTTAACTATTTCGTTAATCAATCAGCAAATGTTTGATACGGCCTCGGTTACTCATACTTTCCGAAAAAAAGGTCCAAAAATTGGGGATAAAGCAAGCAAATTTTGACAATTCCGCACATTCGCACTCATAAGAAACGATTTTTTGTTCAAATATACCAAATTATAAAAGCATATTATGTTTAAGCTGCAGTTTAAGTTTATGGTAAATACGTATGAACATATTTGTTTGTGGGTTTCTTGGCTGCTATTAAACATAAAAAATGGCAACAGTTTCATAGCTTTTAAATTAAATGACAAATACGAGCTAGACGTTATTTGCATCGTTAAATTGATTCAACAGCAGGCTAACTTACACAACATTAGTACCATTTTGTAAATATTTTATAGTTGCTACATAACAACAGACACCTTTATTGTAATGTTATCTCCATAATTGTATGTAAAATTCCATCTCTATACCTCCCAATCCTGATAGGTCGTAACCCACAAAAAAATGTACAATTAAATTTTTGCATCAATGACAAAAAATCGTACATTACTGTATGCGGCTACAGATACATATAAGAATAAAAACGCAAAAATAAACAACAGACAAACTTGTTTTTAATTACACGAGGAATCATTTATTATCAGTTTTTTGTGTCCCCTGTAAAAAGAGAATTAAATTGGGTTACATCGCAATTTTTTACATATGGATCCATAGTTTCCATCGAAGTCAGATAGAACAAGAGATACGTTTATCTCTGATAGAACGTTGTATTAGTTTTACCAAAACTTTCAGGAAAACGTGTGATATAAATTATTGAGTTTTGCTCTATTTTTCAAATACCTATTATTTCCCATTTAGTAAGGTACCTATTTTTAATGAATAGAACAGTTAATTTTAGTAACCTTTACATCAGCTCTTAAGCCAAAACTCTGACTGTATACTTATCAAAGCAGCTCATTTTACAACCAAGTTGTCTTCATCTTTATAAATTCCTGCCACAAAGGACTTTCATAACTACTTATACCTACTTCTCAAATCTCATATAATATAACTGTAAGGCACTTACAATCTCAGCTTTTTCCAGCAATTCTTTCTCTCTTATCTCCAGTTTGCTTTTCAGGCTGGAAAATGTATACTTTATATTATTTTCAGCTTCTAAACAATTGATACAAAATTGTTTTTGCAAATTGGTCAATTCTGTTTTCAAACCTTCTAGATTCTGAATATAGAATTTGGCTAACTGAAGAATTTCGGTAATATCCTTGTGACTGCGATTCATTTTTGTCTAGAAAATGTGTCTAAACGAAAACTGAAGAAAAAATTTGTTTACAAACTAAAAACTGTAAATTGAAAACAACTTTGTTAAGACATAACCTAACTATTTTTATCTTCTTGTGTGTTTTAAGTCGTCTTTTCTAACTTACGATCATCTTTTTGTTCATCTAGCGGATAGCATGCGAATCATCTGAGCAATGCTGTCCGAAATTCAATATTTCATTTAATCATTCTTTAACAGCAAATGAGAGATTTATTTGTCGCCCAATTTTGTTTGTAATTCTGGCGTTAACCCAAGAGGCCGCCAGCTTCGCTGTTTTGTACTTTTTAAATAAACTACCCCTACTTTCAACCCTCATGGCAATTTATGTTTTTACACTGGATTTTTTTCACAAATCTTGTCAAATGTCTATAAAAATTAAAGTTTATATTTAAAATTGTCTAGATTATTCCACCATGTACAATCTTGTAAACTCCCACTCCCTCACAACTGACCGTATCTAGAATAACGCTTTCAATTTGGCTTGAACTTTTTCGAAACAAATATATTTCCAAAATTTGATGCTTCGGTTGTAAATATGGACAAATCTTCTCGGAAATTTTTTACTTACTCTATAAACAATAAATATGGTATTGATAACTCGATTTGTATCAAGGATATTTATCAATTTTGCCGTTATGTCTCCACCCAATTTACATTTACTTTTCTTAAACTTAAGTTTTCAAGTTAAGCATTAATATGAAAATATTATGCATCTCAACATACATTTGAAATTGTACCTACCATACAGAAATAGTTGGGATCATAAATTATTTGGAAACTTTATGACCGATTAGGCGAAACTGGCTCATTTCGTCCCAAACGAGATAATTCCGTCCACAAACTATCACGCCAGGCCAGGAAGAAGAGATTTATCTGGTTCGTGTAGCAGAAAACCCGGAAATACGTCTGAGGCTTTCGTCTCTAGATACTGGAATAAGCAAACCGTCAGTTCTAAGAATCTTTCATCAGTAAAACCATTTTACAGCGTTCAAGAATTTATGAGCATCCGATTTTCCAGCAAAGGTTCATCTTGTGGGCTTTTTCTAGCTCGGCCAAATTTCCATCAAATTTATCTAAACAAATTTTGTGCTTCTTCGATTGTCGTAGTTTGCTTTAGAAACTAACGTGTATAGAAAATGGCATTTTCTCATTAAAATTAATACTTCCACCACAGACAAAAACCGAGAAGTTGCAAAATTATGAGAAAATCTATCTTTCCACTAATTAAAGTTGTACATTTTGAAAAATTATACATCAATTTGTATTATCAGTCATATCATTACTAAACTAAAAAGTAGTACTAATAAGTAACTTACGACAATACGATATCGTTTTACTTAAGTAATTTCCTTCCAATTATTTGTGGAGGACCCTGCATGTATAATTTTCCTTATTTTATTTAACGAAGTAACTGTAGTAAGTAACCGAAAGTAACTAAAATAATGATTTGCACTTTCACTTCGGCAATACTTGCTACATATTAAATATCTATCAAGAAACATACTGCAAAATACGATTTATCTAATCAATTATGGTTGACGTGAAAAATGCATTCTAAAGACATTAAAATCATCAAATGTATATGTTGTATATTTATTTAAATATTCAGTTTTTCTTTACATTTTAATATATTTTGTGAGTTTTTATTTAAAAAACAATCATAATTCGCAAATTTTTTTATTTATAATTTCAAGAAATAATCATGCATGTAATTCGCTAAATCTAATGCGTAAATTAAATAAAAATATATTTTTAGATTTGAAACAAATTTTACTTTCGAACTAAAAAATATTTAGTTTATTCGCTAAATTTGACTAGAAGATGCTTTAGTAGCATTTTGTTCATTTGGTCCAAATTGCCTAAAGCTCAACTTGTGATATGCACACTTTTATTAATTTGGGAAATGTTCAAAGTTTGTAAATAATGATATTTAAATAAAATCAACGATACTCGAAACTTGTTTAAATTACTTTTAGTTTTAGTTATCTCTTTGCTTGCAGGCCAACTGCATTTTTAGATATGGTTTTTCAAAATCGCTTCTGGAAAAACAGTCTCGACCAGTTTTATTTAGATCTGTAATTTTTGCACCTAAAGTCTCTGGTTGAAAGATGGAAAGAAGCTATAAAATATTACTCAATCTGTTCTCTCTCTAAGATGCTCACTTTAAATTTCAACATAAACGTAGAGCTTTCAGCGCTTTCTTGTTTCCTGTTATTCGCAAATGCTTTGCGGGAGCAAATGGTTTCTCCTTAATACGGTCTTTGCTATTCTGAGATTATTTACAATTAAAAATCAGCAATGAATGAATGAATGAATCACCTAATGAAAACCTGAAAATGCATTAATTCAATTTTATATTTAAAAATTTTGTTTGCTACGCGTGGCACAGCTTTTTTAATGTAGTGGATGAAGCTTAAACGGTCATTTCGATCTCCAAAATGCTGTTTTCCTGGTTTAATAAGAATTTAAATGTTGCGCTAATGAAAGTCACCTGGATTTGATCAGTGAAGCATTTATTATCATGAGTTAGTTTTTCAACTGAATTGAATTCGAAGCAAGTTAAAGTTCGTTCAATTTGCAGCTAAAAGTTTAATGCCGTTGAATTGAGAGGAATCGTGAATAGTAAGAAAAAAGAGAAAAATATTAACGATTGATTCACTTAAGATTAAATTCCGTTTTTCCAGCAGCAACATATGTATATAAGAAAAAACGAAAAATAGACATATTTTAGTTCATCAAATTTAATTATTTGGGTCTATATATTATAACACCTTTATAACATCACTTACTTGGACAATGTTTAACAATAATTATTTGCCACATTATATCAACAGGAATGGCTCATACGCATTTTATCGTTTGCAAACCATTGTTAAATACATGTACACTTTTCCTAAATACGTTCAAACATTTTTTCAAATCGAATCAACTGGAATCATCCACTAACTATAGTTTATTGAATTTAATATTTAATATTTGAATATTCTTGAAAGAAGATTTATATTGAATCAGAAAATATATTTATAATACTATTTCTAGTTGTGTTGACTTAACTATTGGAAATAGTAAATTTCATTTATTTTATACAATATTTTGAAACTTATTTTGTCGTACATTACTGGCATTCCGCAGAGTTTGTCAATTGCAGGTGACGATTTTGATTTTGTAGGAAGCAATCCAAATGGTGCATTTCAACTAATACTTTTTTAGATTCTTTTGTGTTCATGTAATACTCCAAATCGTTCTGTTGTGTTCATATACTACAAATTCTTCTGTTGCTCTTATATATCTTTGACACACAAAATTGCTACGGATACGTTCTTTGCAAGTATATTCTCCTGTGAATAAATTCGATGTAAACGTTTGTTTCTATACACATATTACATCAGGTTAAAAAAGATTATTACTTATTGATTGAAATATAATTTCCAAAAATGTCTTTTGCTCTGGTTAATTACATGCAATCATCGTTGACACAATTTTACTTTAATTGCCAATTGGTTTATGATTAAATTGTTAAAGGCCACTTATTCCATTTTGAATAAATAAACCAAATTACCACTACTGTAGTGTAATCGGCCGAAAATGTACCTACATACAATTTGATCCGACGAAAATCGACTTTCCGAGTCAACAACCTTAAAGTAAGACCAATTTTTTGGAATAGTTGAATTAAAATCGATATCGAACTATACATTTGTTGGACGTTTAATTCCTTTTCGAATTTAGTTGTATTGTAACTTTTCAATAAAACTATCTTAGATTTAAAGGTACAGCTTGCCTTTCAATTCTGCTTTTGCCTACGACCCTGCGTCGAGGGCAGCTGCAGTTTTACAATCCTAGATAGAAAGGGTGCCGAATTTCCCAATGAGATTAAAGTTTCGCTTTTATATTTCACCATTTATTACGGTCAACAATATGAATAAAAATGTGCATTGAGAACAAAACTGCAGTAATACTTAGCTTCTTCCAGTTCCATAGATCAATAATTGTAATGAACATAAAGCTGTATTTGGGCATTTTGGACTGGAGAAGGAAGAATTCCTGACCAAAACGTAGTATAAAATCTATCACCTATTATCTTGCAACAAAGTTCAGGTTAAAGATGTAACAGAAAAACCGAATTAGTAAGTAAAGTGAATCTAGAAATGTTATTTTGATGATTACATAACGATTTTTTTCGAAGGGTGTCTAAAAGAAATATGAGCAATTTATGAAATATAAGTTAAAAATAATCGCATCTGAAAAATATTCGATTTGAATATGTTATTTGTGGCAAATTGCCGACTGATTCATTTACTTCACTAAAGCCTAATTGTTTAAAAAAAGATCTTGAAAAAGTGGCAATAGTGGAGTCGGTCTGTTGAGATCTTCAGAATAATTTTGAATCAATTATTAGGCTTTCGAATAAGTATTCACTAAATTAATTTTGTTGAAATACTTTGATTTAAATGTCTGTGCAGAAGTAACCACGTTTATAATATAAAAATGCCTTTTTTCATTTTGATCTTGTCCCTTCCGTTCTTCTGCTATATTTGATTAAGAATCCAATGTTGAATTAGTTATTTGACAATTATCTGTTTTATTTTGTACCTTTTAAGCTTTCTCTTTTACTGATATTGTCGCTATAGAGTTTTATTAGACCCACAAAATGTATTTTTGATACTGAATTATTGACCTGTTTGTTCACTTGGATCTGAATATCGAAGAACAAATTTAATCAAAAACTTCGTAAGAGGTTTAATGGAACTTTACATATCATTTTTAAAATGCCATTGAAACAGTTATCAATAAAAGAATCTGCATAATTATTAAAAAGCAAATACTTTTATATGAATAGTATTTATTTATTAACATTAAACTAAAACGTTTTACGTAAATTTATTTCGAACTCTATTCGTGTTTTTTTTTTCGTTTTCATTACTGAAATGCACCTAAACCTTTCACAGAGCCTGTGTTGCTCATTACCCTTTGAATTATAAATCACAGGCAATTCGTTAACACTTTGCTGCAAAGTGCTAATTACATGCTATCGCAGTATTGAACCTCCGGGCTTCGAAGTGTTGAATTTTTTGCTTCCTACATAGGCCCTTAAAGCTTGACTAATTTTAGTTTGCAGACAGGATTTAAAATGGTAATCGTAATAAACATGATTGGCACATGTAATGTGATAATTATATCAAACATGTAGTTAGTAGCTATACACAATAATAAGTTTGTAAGTGCGTCAAATCCCTACATTTCCCTCACAATGTTGCTGAAAGAGAAAATCCCTTCAAGTTGACAACGCCGCCAAAAAAACAAGTTTAAAGCGCGCCCTCAGCTTTCAAACAAGCTCGAGCTAGCTTTGATAATTCGCTTCTGAGCTGAGGAGGAGTGTAGATCTCCGGTCCGCTGCACCTCCGAACGTACGTGAAATACCAGCAAAATAATCTGAGAAGTTTTTAAAACCATTAACGTTTGAAAATTTTGTGTTTTACCGGTTAATTGTATTGTGAATACGTGAAATATCGTGCGTTTTTGCTTAGTTTTTGTGTTTATTTGGTGCGGTTTTTTTCCGGTGGACTTTGTTGTTTGTTTTTTTCTTATATTTAATATTAGTACTTTTTCATCATGGAGTTTTACAACACCTAACTGATTGTCAGCGTAAGTTTCCGCATCAATTTTTTTCTTATCTAGAATTTGTAATTATTACTATGACTTCGTCCATAATGTCCTATTTGTATATTTTTTAGGCTTAATTTTGAATAGCATCGACTGTAATGTTTTTATGTGTAAGCTAGGATAGATTGCAGTAGTTATTTTTCCAAAGAAAGTTTTGTCAGTTGATTAATCTATTTATATTCTAATCCGTTTTAGCTGAACGTAAGAAAAACGAAAAAAAATGAACGTGTAACAAATGCGCTCTCGCATTGGTCTTGTAAGTTATTTGAATAAATAACGATTTTTGTAGAAATCTCTAAATTGAAGTCATTTTGTCTTATTGTATTTTTTATATGTCTGATTAGTGGTATGTTAAACAGGACCTACGTTTTGTTGTCTATCTGCATGTGTAATTAAGAAAACGAAGAAACTTTAAGTACATTTAGAAATGTTTTCCGGGCTTTGAAGCCGTGGTCTATCGGAATTTCTTCCTGACAACTTTAAGTAAAACTAATGTTAGACAAAATGTTGTCTATTTCTTTAATAAATTCACGTATCACGTTTCGTCTTTGACAACTTTTTTATTTAAACTCTGGTAAATCTACTGACATGTGATTTGTAAAATATCCGAGTCCAAAAAGGGCATTTCAATCAATTATCAGTAATAACGTCACCCCAAATAACGTGTCGAAAAATGTATGAGAACAGCCTTGCCTTTACCGATTTTGCCTTTGTTTATTCATCAAGTGTAACTAATGTTGGTTTGATGTATTAGTCATTTTCAAACTCATTGTTATTGGAATCTTATCAATGCGATTGTTGATTTAATGTTTAAATCGATTGCAGGTGAATTCGCTAGTGATTTGTCAAAAGTATTATCGGCATTTGCCCCAAACAGTCTGTAAGCGCAAATTGAGATAAGAATTGTCAACTATCTTAAATGAATGATATTAATGATGCTAAACGAACAAAGAATTGATAATCTTGTTTTAGGATCGGTTGCCTTAATTAGAACTTAAGTATCTACTTTTTAATAATAATCATTTATAAAGTTTCAGAATTTTATTAGCAATCTATTCTGGAAGACTTTGTACCTATTTCAAATAATCCACTTGTCACCGTTCCGTTTAGATACAAAAAAAATGCAATTTTTTGGATCGTGTGCGTTTCCGAAACTTTAACGCCATTAAAACTTTCTTTCTGTTTTTGCGCCAATTAAAGCTGTTTGGACAACCCAATTAATATTCAAAAACTATCATTCTTTGCCGAATCTTTATCCACAATTTCTAGACATGCAGCAATAACGAAATGCTCTTCAAGAAATTATCGGCGTTATATTTTAGTCTGCAAATGTTCGACTCCTATTTGAAATTAGCACAAATCAGTAGTAAGTAATACGAAAAAAACTCTGTGCTCTGAAAGTAGGACAAGTGACTTGCCGCTAAACTGTACGAACAGACAATTTATTGAAGCTAAGAAAGCTGGAAATGGCACAATATGACTACCGAGATCAAATCTGTAAAATATGTAAAAGCTGCTTATATTATATTCATGATAATTATGTTGGTTGATTTGGGCTATTCTAAAGATCAACAGTGAAAATAGCACATTTCCGTGGCGCCTTAGGCAAAAACAAATTTAAATTAATCCGTATCAAAAATATAAAGAGGTTGATTTTTATATATTCTTGTTCTTTAAACCTTAGCTTGTAAATTGATAACGGGCAAAATGTACTTGCAAACGTATAAATAAATCTTCTAAGATGTATGATTGATTTTATTTTTATTTATTGACTTTATGAAGGCGTAAAAATGATTTCGGCTAATTGAAAGTGGAGCCATTCTCGACATTATTTTGATTTTGCTTCATGAATGCTCATGTTTGTCTGGTTAGTTGTATTTTGCGATTCACTGCTTAACTGCTTTTTTAACTTCCATTCCTTATGATATTTGTTCTTGGTGTTTTAGGGAAAGTAACCAAATAACCCAAAACCGACCGACCGGCAAGTGATTGATTATGTGCTTTATTTAATTATTTGATTTTCTGAAATCTTGAACTCAAGAACAGCAGAAAACAAACAAACCATCTCCGATGTAATACCTAAATGAAATGTAGCAAAGCGTTGCATTTTTGTTAGGCATGTTTTTCATAATATTAGATTGCCAGTTTTATTAACATTTTATCACCAGTCCCAAAATTATTATTTAGGATGCCCTATTTAAAGAATGGACAAAGACATGTTTTCCTGTACATATAATAAAATATTTATTCCATAATATAATCGATAACGCATAAGTGTCCACTATCGAAATTAAAGACTTAATTACTAAAGTTGTGTTAAGTAAATATTTCATCAAAATACGTAATTTCCAAAAATAAATCCCTCAATTGGCGCAACTTGGTCTATCGTTCCTTTATTCGATAATTGCATTCTTTAGAAATTTAAGGTATCACTTAGTGTCGATAACACGTCATTTCTGTTTTATTGAATGCAGTCCAATCATCCGAGTAAGTGCCGATAATAACTGCTTTGTATCCGTTATGTGTCACCGCAATCCGAGATATTGATCAATTCTTACCACGCATTAAGGGAGATAGCATCTAAAATAATAATAATAATATTGAAACTACTGTAACACAGTCATGTGTGATGCCGATTTTTTTTCTTTTCTAATTTTGCTCATTATTTTCAGTTGCTCACTTTCTCACTCGAGACGAAACTGCAAATCAAGAACGTTATTTCATGAAATATGTTGTCGATTTAGGCTTGCTTTTCGTACATACAAAAGCGCTGTAATTGTGTTTTAAAAAGGGTCTTTCAGTACGTTTCGGAAGTCGAGCAGAAGCGATCAAAAGGGTCCAAGAATGTTTGTTTAGCGTAATAATTTTCGATCGACTGCCTTTTCGTCAATAAAGTCCTGAGACGCCGCCCTTCTGGCCCCGGGGGGCATTTCCTTAAAGATGTAAGGATGCATCGGAATCGGGGGACTTACTTCTGGAGAAAATAAAATATTCAGTAGCAAATCCAGAGTTTTTTGCTATAAAGCTACTTTTAGTAGCTTTACTTTGAGTACATGTTTAGTAGGGAAATTGATGGATTATTTTTATCGATACTGCACTCCAATTGACTTGTTGTATCCAAACAATGCAAAAGTCAAAACCAGTCCCCAAATGAATGGGGCTCAACATCGGCTTTGAGTTACAAATTTTATTTGCAATCCATTATACCTAGTCATTCTCCTTATATTTTTTTTAAAACACATTCATGACCGTTCTAAAGCATTCTGAGAGTTAATATTGGGCTTGCATTACCAGAGCGAAAATAGTGTTCTTATCTAAGGAAATTATTTGCATCCGTTGACCACCTAAAAAGTAGGCAAAGAAAAACAAGAAAATTAACTAAGTTGTAGATAAGTTCTATATTGTTGAGGCGGATTCATATTTTTACAAACTTCTTTTTGGGTATTTCGCCTCAAAAATGTTTGCCTTAAAAAAGACAGAATTTCCTCACGTCTTTTATTACAGATTGATAAATATTGCTCCTATTTCGCAATAAGGACGAATTATTTATCAAAAAGTAATCAAGAACTATCACCTAGAGGGTATCCTGCGACACACTTAGGCT